GCGAGCAAACCGCGAGATCGCCGCGAGCTACTCTGGGCCCCCGCCGTCGCTGTCATTGGCAAGCAGCGCTCTCTATGGCATCTCGTCTCGCTCGCCTGCATGGCCAGCAGCTAGCGTCCCTCCACCCTTGCATCTCCTCTTCTGCTCTTTTCTTTCTCTTCTTCTTCTTCTTCTTCTTCGTCGTCGTCGTCGTCGTTCTCTGCCTCAGGAGTCATCATGGCCTCCCGCCGCGGCCACCGGCGAAGCGGCCTCTGGGACATCCCCCTCGACCACGACCTCTATGCCTCCTCCCCTTACTACTCCTCGCCCGCGCCCTCCTCCCCCTACGACCCCTACGGCCCCGGCACCCCCAGCAGCAGTGGCAGCAACAGCTACTACCTGACGACCCCGCGGGTCTACAGCAACGGCGACATCAGCCAGGCCGAAGCCCGCATGCGCGCACAACAGCTGGCCGCTCCCTCGCCAGAGGACGGCGAGCTTCCGGACATCCTCATCTTCAAGTACCAGAACGAGTCCTGGAGCTTCGAGTTCCCTGCCTTCTCCATCGACGACGACCGGCTGTGCGTCAGCGACATCCGACGGCTGGCCGGCCAGACCCTCAACATCGCCGACATCAGCAGGATAAAGCTCATGTACAAGGGCCGCCTGATGACCGACGACGCCGCCAGTGCAAAGTCGCAGGGCCTGAAGCAGTTTTCTGAGGTCGTTGCGATCGTCATGCCAGGATACACAGAGGGTGTCTACGGTGGGAGCAGCGGCTTGATCGACGGATGGCGCGAGGCTCAATTGATTCCCGTCTCTGACAGCGAGAAAGACGACGAGCAGCCGTCCCTGCAACCACCGCCGCCGCCTCTACAGAAGCCACTACAGAAGCCACAGCAGCAGCAGCAGCAGCAGCAGCAGTCGTCTGCGTCACGGCCACGACGGCCGCCAAAGGTCAAGATCGAGGTCAGAGACGACGATGAATTAGAGGACGAGAGGTACTACTACAAGCCGTCGCCCGTTCGTCGAGGAAGGTCTCCGCCCAAGTATGTCCCCCAGGAACGAAGGAAGTCTGTCCGCCGCGAGCGCAAACCAAGAGACCCTTCGCCTGTCTCCCCTGATCGAAAGCCCCGGCGGCGGCCAGTACAGCATCAGCAGCATCAGCAGCAGCAACCTCCTGTGCAGCCAGTCCAGCCAGTGAGAGAGCCTGCGTCGCCTAAGGAACCCATATCACCCCGGGAAAAGATCTACGCTCGCCAGACCCGGCCGCCATCCCCTCCAAAATCGAAATACCAATACCCAGCTGTCCCTCCGTATCCATCCCCGCCTCCAGCCGCCTATGACCCGCTGCCAAACATCTGTCGGGAGCCACGGCCATACGCAACCTCTCATCCTTCGCCGTCAGTCAGCAGCACCGTCAGCTCATCGACGTACACCTCAGACTCGGCCTCTACGGCTGCTTCGACCGCGGCATCTTTTTCTCCCACAGTGCCCTCATCCATACCTGCTCCTACTAAACCCAAACCAAAACCAAAGGCCAACAAGACATACTCTGTGCCCAACCGGCCGCCTACCCCTTGTCCTCCCTTCCTAGCATCCCACTCTACATCTGACAAGCTCACCATCTTTGAGAAATATGTAAATGACAAGCTGATACCGCTGTGCACTCGGTTCATCATGCATCCGCCTGCGGATGTACGAGCGCAGAATAAGGAGCAGCGCAGACTAAGCGAGGCAATGGAGCGGGTTCTCGCCAGGGCTGATGAGATTACCGTTGGTACGTCACGGCCCCTGAGAGATCGCAGGAAGGCTGTCGTGCAGATGGTTCAGCGCTTCCAGACCAGGATCGACGCCATGATCGTCCCTGAGTAAGGAAGGTTCTGCAGCAACAAGAGGAGGATTTACGGAGTCTGGGTAATTTGATATTAATGCTGGATGCTGGAGTTGGTTTGGCAGTTTAATCCAGGGGTGCATTTTGATAGATGGATGGCATGACATGACATACCATGATATGATATGATATGGCATGACATGGTAACTACGAATTTACGAATCCTTTCCCTTAAAAAAAAAGAAAGAAAAAGAAAAGGACATTTACACGACGTGATGATTACTACTTTAACTCTTCTCCTCTCCTTTCTTGTCTTCTTACCGTCTTTATTTGCTTCATCATGTTCCATCCTATCTCCTACTTCGATGATGCCTGTCACCATCTCTTACATGGAAAAAACAGGGAATATCCAGGGCAGCTTTGCATCAACTGATATGATTGATATTCATTTGTCTTCGAATTCTCTAAGCAATACATGCTTCAACCAAGACATTCTCTACTTCTGGCCTTGCTGGCTTTCCTGCTTCTGATGACCACTGTGACTCTGCCCTTTGTCTGTTGAATTCGCATTCTTGTCGTCCTTGGATTGCTTCTGCGAGTTCGTGTCTTCTCCTCCAGGCTTAAGAGATTCTTGTTAGCCATCTGACTCTTACAATACATTTGAATGCTGGTATTTGATAAAAGCCGTCCTTACCTTGGAAGACGTAATGCGTGAGATATCCTCCTCACTCACTGGGATGACAGGCATGTTGCTTTGGTTATGACAAGGGCTATATTCTCTGCATCAATCGATCAAATTGTCCTTTGTAGGATGGATGACTTTGATGCCGTCTGAATGTTTGTTATACAGACTACCATTTTGGTGGCAAATATGACGTACGTAGATTGGCAGCTCTTCTGGCAGGCGTGAACATGCCGCAATAAAGTCAACAAACAAACGGTCATACAGACGATCCTTCTGTGTCTATCTAACCTCCCAGTGTTGGCTGGATCGTGGTTCAGCAGTGTATTATAACTGTAGTAATATCGCTGTCGAGTCTTCTTTTCCTGTATATCATCTACTGTCAGCCAGATTCATCCTTACCGTTCATAATTCAGCTAGCGGCTATCAGCTACTTGAAAATATGAATCATTACCTCTCACGCGAACTTGGCCGGGGGCAGAAACTCCTGTACGTCGCACCTCGACGTCGGGAAATACACGGAACCCCGAGAGGGAGTTTCGCTATGCTCTACTCCAAAGGCGCCCCTGGAATCTTTCTGCTACTCGCAAAACCCAACTTCACCACTCGCCCCGGCGTCATTATGCGTGACCGGGACCCAGACACTGAAGCAAGGGTATCAGAAACATTCCTACAGAGTCCCAGTAATATATTCAGGTTGATGCCTGTCTGTCTCATGCAAATGATCATCGAAAACCTACATATAATCGATGTACTCCATTTCGGGCTTACTTGCACCGACGCCTGGTGCGCAGTATGGCCTACCCTCTGGAAATTCAGCCTCAGTTCTCTGGGTACCTGGGCGGGTACACCCATACTATGCGGTGCAGAGGGACCAAGGGAGTTGGGGAGTTATGACCCGCCTGAGCCGCCTACGGGAGACCAGTACGTGCAGGGCATAAACAGACTGCTTCAAGGTCGGGCATCCGATAGGATTCGTCCAAGAAGGCGATCCGGATCCTTGCCGATGAATAGCCAGCGAAATGGGATCTCAGGCCGACCAAGTTCAATTAATCCAAACCGACCGGCTGCCTTTGCGGATGACCTTGAGGCATTGGATGACTTATTGGTTGACGTATTGAACAGTCTATCGAATGGCCTACCAAATGGCCAACTGTATGGGACCAGTCAAGAAAGGCCGTCACGGCCGGTCATGGGCCGTATTCTGGGTCCAACAAATAGACATAGTATTCGTCATGGGCAGCCGAACGCAACTCCTAGGCTGAGACCATTGGAACGTGCTCGACGGCGAGTCAATAGGCTCTACCCAGACCTGCAGGATCGGAATCATCCATATGACAATCATCCAAGCCAGCCGAATGGGGTTCCCCATAATCGTCCGAACGGTATCCATTCGAACGAAAGATCTGGGACTGCCTGGGTCCATGCAGATGGTGTCATTTCAACCAACCAGATTTATAGGGATGAACTTCGAAATCAAAGGTACCGCGAAATTTTGATTGAAATGAGGAATATGCCAAATAGAGCGAATGGGACGAACGCGACGAACACGACGAACGGGGTGAATGGGGTGAATGGGACGCACGGAGTGAATGGGACGAACGGGGTGAATGGAGTGAATGGGACGAACAGGGTGAATGGGACGAACGGGGTAAATGGAGTGAATGGAGTGAATGGAGTGAATGGAATGAACGGAGTAAATGCGAATGTTCCAGCACAGCCGTCCGACTCTGGCCCACACCGGGCATTGATAATAGAAGCCCTTCCGACCCCCCTCGTTCATCAGGCCTGGGCATTTTTCAAGCAGACCAGAGATGTAATCAATGACTGCTTACCTCCCGATCTCCATATGCCAGCCAATGCATATATCAGGACCAGCGCCTACTACCCGGCTGACCTGTTGACTATCATTAACCCTTGTCCAGCGAGCCTCTACCGCACCGAGCCCGGCGATGAGTGGATCCTTAGAAGCCTGACGGCGCGCCAGTACGTCCGCTCAACCGCAATTGCCTTGCATCCTGGATACATCAAAGGACCGTTCATCATGGGCATCGGCTTTGGCGAGGTGATCTTCGCCATGACCGTGTGGACTCATACGAGCAGGGGCCGCTGGGCTGGTCATAGCCTAGATATCATTCTTCTAAGCCAGCTAGAAGAAGAAGAAGAAGACGGCGGAGATTGGGAGGACGTAGGAGACTATGTCAGGCAGTTCATTCACGAGTCCTTCAGGATGCATTACGGCGAGAACTGGCAGGAAGAGGCTGTGAAGCTTGCGTGGTAAACCATGGCTTGTCTAGATGCTAGACACCTCTTTGTATATCATAGGCTGGTATCGTTATCCTGACTCTTCGTAGCTGAGTATAAGATGTAAGATTCGAGGCAGCTTGCGAGGTTCGTTTTGTAGCTGTAGACGCAGATGAAGTCGAAATATTCCTGATCGGGACGGATGAAGATTTTGCCGCCAGACGCGATTAGCGACCTAACCTAGAAACGGCCTGAGGCCGCCACGACGAAGAAGCAGAAAGACAGCGAAGGAGAAAGGCGAAACGAAGGCAAAGCGAAGATCTACTGCGACAGAGAAATACCCAGCAGCAGGCGAGCCCGCTGGAAGCTTAGCTACGTTGACGCTCCATCCACCGACCGGCCTGCCGCCACTCGTCCTGCAGATGCATCGCCAGCAGCTTCGTCACTGAGACAGCGCGCGACTTCTTCCCCGCCGCCCAAGAGAAGACGAAGTTCGGAGAAGAGATAAAGACGGCGGGCGAGAAGAAGGCGACAAAATGCCGGAGTCGAGTGCGCTGGGCGAGCTGTTTATCGAAGGGCCGTCGGACCCTGATGCGCAAGCTACCGTCACGGACTTCATCGACTACACAGAATACCTGCCCTCAGACCTCGTCCGCTCGCTGACCTTGATTCGCGGTCTCGATGAACGGTATGTGAATGCGACAGCATCTGTCCACGAGCTTACAAAGGTCTATGGCCAGCTCCCAAACCTCCCTGCAGAGTCTCGCCCCCAGCCGCATATACTACGCAAGCAGATATCAGAGCAGCTACGGCGCGCGGTCAACGCCCGCGAATCGGCCTATGCAGAGTCCTGCCGTCTCTACGATCTTGTGGACCACTACGTTGATCGCCTGGGGAGTATAAAGTCCAAGCTATGCACGATACTGGCGAATCTAGGCTCGGTGAAGGATGAAGAGACTGCTACCGAGAAGAGACCAGGAACCGCAGAAGGACCTGGTGCAGCACCCAGGATCACCCTTCGTGTGGACGGCCAGAAGGCTTCGGGAGCTGCTCGTCGCCAGGATACGGCAGCACAAAAGAAGTCAAGGAGCCAGAAACCTGCCGCTCTTAAGACTGGTGCTGCGCTGCCGGAAAGTCCAGCAGTAGCCGGCCCATCCCTCAATCTGCCTCTAGATCAAACCTTGGAAAAGACAAAAAAGGAAAAGCAACCCAAGAAACAAAAGCCGGCACAGCCTACGAATAGATCAGCTGCCGATCCTAAGACAGCGCCAATTCTAGAACCACCTCCCGAGGATGCTGTGATTGGTGGTGAGTATCGGCCGTGGCTACGATTAACAGAATGGGAAATGGCACGACTACGGAAGAAGATGAAGAAAAATATAGTCTGGCAGCCTAGTGATGTTATGATACAGCGAGAACTGGCGCTCGGATCTCGCGGCTGGGAAGGGTATTTAGCTGCCAAACAAAAAGCCGAGGAAGAAGGTACCGAGTTCGTGGATTGCGATGATATCATGAACACCTATTCCCCAAGCGTACCCGCCTTCAAAGGTGCTGGAATGCCGCCGCAGCTAAGGAATGAGGAAAACAAAACCGTTCTCAATCGAGGTATGAAACTCAACGAAGCCAAGAAGCAGAAGCGTGAGAGTTTGGCTCGGGAACAAGCCGCTGCCCTGGCCGCTGCGGAAGCGGAAATGGCAGCCAAACGTCTTGGAAATATTGGATCTACCTTCAAGAATCTGTTCTCGAGTCCTGTGCAACCGTCACAGACTCCGGCTCCCACACTACCAGCTCCAGCTGTGCCACCTGTTGCTGCTGATAGTGTCCAAAACACTGGTCCTTCAAGCAATAATGCCAGCAGCAGCAGCAATAATATTAATAATGCCTCTTTAGCTAATGATTCAACAGCTACGACTAGGCTGAAGATAAAACCGAGTACGTCCAAGAAGAGGAAACATGATGAATTAGTTGATGCTGTACCTTCTGGACAAGAAAAGGGCGGTTCAAGGCCTACATCCGCTGGAGCCAGCCCATCGACCAAACCTGTTCCCAAAAGGCTACAGCTCACAATGCCCGCTTCTGAGAACCAACCTCTTACCACTGGGGCGAAGAAGGCTGTTAAGCCTACAATATCACTGAAACTTCCCGTCCTTCCACCCAGGCCAGGCTCCAAACTATCTTCACCCATGACTTCCCCTGCCGAGCCAAAATCGGCCGTTGAATCCTCAACCCGCCGGCGTTTATCAGGCGTCTCCAAGGCCGTACGCAGCGCTACTCCTCCCGCGGTAGCTAGGACATCATCCCGTCGCCGCTCAATTACATCCGGATCGGTTGATTCTACAACCCGTGATCGCCTCCGACGTAAGAGCACAACTCCAGCCATCAAGGACCTCTCTACTAACCAAACAGCCACCACGACCACTGCAGGGGCAGCAGCCGCTCCCGCAGTAACGGCAGCCGGACGACGCAGCAAACGGCCTGCCCCTGGTCCTGTGACTGCCGGGGAGAACGGAGGCTCGGCAGTCAGCATAGGCAAACGAAAAGCCAAGCCGGCAGTCAAGAAGAAACGAGACCAAAAGGACAGCAATATATCGTCCAAGGCTGAGGATATCCGTATTGATGAGGACGGAGTGGTTGAGGAGATTGATCCTAATGAGCCACGGTATTGTCTCTGCGGCGACGTGAGCTTCGGAACTATGATATGCTGTGAAGACGATGATGTGAGTGAGGTCGAGCGAAGTGTTGTTGCTTGTTTGCTAAGTGTGTCGTTTTTCGCTCCCGTCACTTGTTTCATCTTTACTCCTGCATTCCTTTCCCCGGTGTTTCTTTACCTTTGACAAAATGTTTCTTCTATTCACCCTTCTGTTGAGATTCTTATGGAAGGGAACATGCTAACGCGGCGTTTCTATCTAGTGTGAGACGGAGTGGTTCCACCTTGACTGCGTTGGCCTGCCCGAAGTCCCTAGCCGTCTGGCCAAATGGTACTGTCCTGAATGCCGCAAGAAGCTAGACAAAATACCTCCGGATGGCATCGTGCGTAACGGTGGCCGACGGTAAAAGGCGAACTGGCTGTAATAACAACAACAATTTAATATAGTCGATCCTTCATATTCCATTTCTTTCAATTTTCGTTTCATTCTCGGTTTACTGGTATGGGGTTACAGAGGAGGCGAGCCATGGTTCTTTAGCATCTTGCTCTTGGGGAGTTGGCGTGTTCATTTATTATGAATTATGGGAGACATGACGAGCTCGGAGTCTTTACTTTTCAGTGCTTTCCTTACGTCTATTTTTTTGGTTCCTCTCTTGATAACTGCTGCCTTGTCCTGTACCAATTTTGCAAATTAACCTATACTTCACTTTCTTCCTTCAAAATATTAAACCTTCAAACACTTTTATCATTTTGCCAATATCTTGACATTTATGGGTGTGAATGTGTAAGAGAAAAAATCTAATACCTCCATCCCCTTCTTTTGCAACCCTATATAGAGTTGTTTAGCATCGGGGGCCTCTCAAGATCGTCACTGAGGCTCTTCGTTCCGCAACCTTGTTTCTAACTACTAGCTCAGGTTCAAACTGCTGTGGAGGAATGGTGTATGTACGTCATTCAATTGATCCGGAAAATGTAATAGACATCATCATTACTATAGATGGGTATGTAAAGTAAGCGTTAAATTGACGGATGAAGAATCCAACTTGATAGTTAGATCTCAGCCAAAAAACGGGGGGGATACAGAGAGAAGTTGGAGGAAGCCAGTGCCGCCCTGGAGCTCCAAGAAAACATCAACAAGGGCATACTAGTGGATAATTGAACCAAACGGTGTAGAGGGGATCATGAAGAAGTCCGGCCGTGATAATGGGATAGGTAGATGTAATGGTAGACGGGGATGGGAATAAGGTACTAGAACGCCGTATGGGTAAAACTAAAAATAAGTCAATGGATAGAGCAGATCAGTCGTATAAATCTTTATCGCATTCCGCTTCTCCCGCGAGAAATCAAACTCCTAAAAGGTTTGTTGGTTGGTAGGCTGATGTGTTTGTGATCTTTCGTATATATATGTAAAGTAGCAAGCAACTATGACGATTGGCAAAGGAAAGAAAGGGAAAAACATAGCAGGGGATGAAGGCGGAAAACCACAAAGACTCAAAAAGCAAAAAATAAAAAAAATAGCATAGAGAGATGATGGGAAAAAATGTGTTCAATATCCAAGGGGCTTCCGTTCGTTTCGTTTCCGAGGTTAAAAAAAGTCATTCCATTCCTCCGACTGAAGAGTAAAGAAAATGGATTTTTTTTTTTTTTTTTTTTTTTTTTTTTTTTTTTTTTTGATCCAAAATAATATGGTGATAGAAGAAAGAGGTAGGAAGGGTTTAAGACAAGAAAAATATAGGAGATGGCAGTTGAGTCGGGTAATCTCACTCTTCCATGTGGCCGAAGACGCCATCGTCATCGTCATCCATGTGTACGACGGAAGATGGCGAGCCGCGGTCTGACTCGTCATCTCGAGAGCGTGAGTGCTGAGGATTGGCCGGACTGGTGCTGTCGTTCCGTAGGTTGGAATGCTGGGTGATGGTGTCGGGCTTTATGTCGGCCATCTTGACGTCTCGTTCATCTGAGACACGGTATGATATAGGCGCGTGTGTGGCCATGGGAAGGGTGTCAAAGATGTTTGGTGTGGATGCGGCCAAGTTTCCAGTTATAGTCGCCCCTGAGACACTGCTGCCGCTGTTATTTGAGACGTTTATGCTGCTAGAAGGGCCGGAGACGGTACTGTTGTCTCCAAAGTAGCCATTGGAATGGTTGTTGGCCATTGCCATTGTGCTGCCGACGCTCTGGCCCAAGAACCGAGCTGGAAGAGGAGGAACTGGGGGAACATCCTCGAGAATGGCCATGGGCCCTGATCTGGGGGTACCAAAATTGCAGAGTTCGATTGCGGCTGCAAGACCGGCAGCGTCGTCGTCGAGGACACCGTTGGTGTCTGCAGTGGAAGGTCTGGTATCTGTGCTGGAATGGCGGAAGTGAGAGTGTGCAGGCGAGTAAGAAGGAACGCTGCTTGCGCTGGCGAAGGAGGCAGAAGGGATGGACTGGAGGGACTGGGAGAAGGAGTGATTATAATTATGATTATAGCTGCTATGGCTGCTGGGGTAGCGGTAAGGGTCGTTGGATGATTTGGACAAGGCGCCGTCGTCACCGGTAGGGGGCGGCGTGGTCTCGGTCGAGCTGAGGCCGTCACGGAGCTCGGAAATGCCAGACACAGTCGGAGAGGTTGACGAACGGTCCGAGTCGCCGCTCCCGCTGGCAGCAGCAGCACGGGCAGCAGCCTGCTCCTCTGAGACGGGTTCGTTGAGCGTGACAAGGACGCTGGCGGCTTCGAGCAGCTGGACCTGCTGGTGTTTCGATATGAGGAGCTTTGATGTCACTGCCCATGCCGGATCGTGTTCCCACCTATGGCCCCAGATATGTCAATTATCGACGCAATCAAGAGAACAACGGATTGATTGATGCATGTATCAATCCATTTTGGGCAACATATGTAGTAGAGAGGGGAAGACGGGGTATACGCACATATGCTTGGTCAAGCAGCTGCTATGCTTATACCCCTTCCCACAGCGGTCACACTTGAGCTCGACGAGCGACCTCTTTCCTTCTCCCTTCATGAGATGCGAGCCCTCGCTGGCCCGCCTGCTCCTGTGCTTGATGCTGATCGGCCTGCCAGCGTTCCCCGTCCCGGCGGAGAGCTCTTCAGAGACCGCACTGCTGCTGTTCAGGGACCCCGGCACTGGCTTGCGATCGACTGCAGCCATGCCGTTCCTGGCAGCATGGGAGGAGGGCCCGAACGGGGACGAGGAGCCAGCGGAGGTCGACTCGAGGCCGGCTGCCCGCCGCAGCGAGAGACCACGGCGGTGGTGGGAGGTGTGTATGGGCGCTCCGGCGCTGGCGCCAGACTCGCTGATCACGGCGGCCGCGGCAGCAGCGGCAGCATTGTTGCTGTTGGCGGCGGACGAGGTCATGCTCTTCCGCCGGGTAACGCGGTGGTTGTAGTTGAGGGCGCCCAGGGAGACGGAGTGTGAGTGCGTCCGCCCGTTGCTGGCCTGGCGAGGGTTCGGGATGGCCTGGGGCAGCGGCCGCGAAGAAGAGTCCTGCTGCTGGTCGAGAGCGAGCCAGAAAGGAGGGAGTCGTTAGTGAATGAGTTGCTCGCCACGCTGGAGGGAAGGAGATGACTATCTGCCCCCAGCGCACACCCGCAACAGAGGCCCCGGACGGTGCATTGGGGCATCCCGAGGCCGCTGCAGGGTCACTCTGCCGATGTACGCACCTTGAACGAGGCCATCTTGGGCTGGTGACGGGGGAGGGAGTGGTTCGGCCTGGAGGTGTTGGTTGTTTGTCGGTGGTTATTATTCGTTTTTTTTTTTTTTTTTTTTTTTTTTTCGTCCTTTTTTTTTTTTTTTGACGAAAAGCCCGGCGCCAGGGGCAAAAGCTAAGATCCTCAGCAGGCAGGGCGACGGACGACAGGGACGAGAGCAGGACTAGACAGGCATTGCCGCCGGGAGAGACAGCGAGGGTCGAGGGAGGGCGGTTGGTGGTGAAGATGGAGGGAGAAGCAGCCAGGAAGAAGTAAAAAAAAAAAGGCGACGCGGTGGATCTCGGGGGTTATTTTTGGCTGTAGATCAAAAGTCAGGAATACGACAGAGATTCAGATCGAGCGGGCGAGGCAGTCGACGGCGGATACGAGGTTGCTGCGGTTCGTTTGTTGCGAGCAGAGAAGATGCAGTTGAGAAGTTGAAGTTGAGAAGTTGAAGTTGAGAAGTTGAAGTTGAGAAGTTGAAGTTGAGAAGTTGAAGTTGAAGTCTTGATAAAACAACTATTTTGATAGCAACAACGACGAGAGCGACAAAGTCACTAACAACTAACTAGCAAGCCTGCAGAAACAATAAGACGGCCGCTATAACTGACTACTAGCCGGTGCCCCTGTTGCTGCTGCTACGACTGACTCGATGTTCCTCTCACGCTTCAGGAGCGACGACGAGGAGGAGGCCGAAGACCTCCTGGCCAGCTTCCTGCCCGTCCTCTTCCCGGACTCGACGACCACCTGCGTCGGCCAGCCAGGCCAGCAGCTCGTCTACTCGTCGCCGGCCTTTGGCGAGCTCGCCCTGACGATTCCAGTCCATCCGCGGGACCAGGGAAAGGCAGCAGAGGCAGCAGAGGCGGCGGCGGACGGGCAGGAGAGGGCGCCGCTGGGGGAGGGCGTCGACCGGGCCTGCATGCTGTTTGCGCACTTCCTCTGGGGCTCGAGCCTGCTGGTGACCGACGGCATCGAGAGGGCGTCTTCATCTTCTACTTCTTCTTCTATTAATTCCCCCTTTGAAGCTGCGGCTGATGGTTCAGTATGGAGCGTGAAGGGTCATGATATCCTCGAACTTGGTGCAGGCGAGTAGCGACAACTACAACTACAAGCAACACAACTCCCACGCCATCTACATCCATCTGCGTGTGCCGGCAGTGCTGTAGAGACGGCCGCTATCATCTCGTTAACAGGAAGAAACTGTATATATAGGTGCCGCCCTGTCCTCCATCGTCAGCGTGCTCGCCGGCGCAGAGTCCGTCACCGTCACCGACCACCCCCTCGCCCCAGGCCTGTACGGCTCGATACAGGCCAACATCGACAGGAATATACCCAAACACCTCGCCCACCGCATCTCCGTCCAGCCGTACCAGTGGGGGGTCCTCGACCAGGGCGGCAGCGTCGACGAGGAGGAGCTCGAGACCGCGTATCTCGACCAGATGGCGGGCTTCGCGGCCGCCAACCGAGCTCGGTTTAGCCGCATCATCTGCGCAGACTGTCTGTGGATGCCCTCCCAGCACGAGAACCTGATCCAGACCCTGCTCTGGTTCCTCGCTCCCTCGTCAGGCTCGCCTGCAGGCATCGCATGGGTCGTGGCAGGTTTGCACACCGGCCGACACATCGTAGCCTCCTTCTTTCAAAAGGCCGTCTCCGCCGGTCTGAAGATCGAGAAGATATGGGAGCGAGACATGAATTCGACCGAGGGAGAGACGACGAGGGAGTGGAAGCCCGTTCGAGAGGACGAAGGGCCGGAGAACAGAGCTCGATGGTGCATCGTGGGCTTGCTCAGCAGGTAGTTTTGTTACCACACTCCCATACATAGCAGCTACTTCATATAAAATAGAAAAGCAACTCCTCCTTTTTGTTTATCTATTCCTCTGGAAGCATATAGTACATACTCCCTGGCCCTCCTGGGCCGCCAAACCGGAACTTGGGATATTCAACCCGGTCGTAC